CTGTCTGTCTGTTTACCAGTCTGTGATAGAAGGGTATGCTTGCTGTCAGGTACAGAATCCTGTGCTGTATACATGGCTCTGTACCAGAAGAAGGTGATTTGTTTTGGGTTTCTTGGAAAGTTAGCACCAATAACATTTTTAGCTTTGCTTCATAAGCCTTTAAGAAGGACATTTTTACCTAATTTTCCCACAAACTCTCCTACACTTACTCTTTTTTACATACTCACTCTAATACACCATCACACACACACGCACACACACACACACACACACACACACACTATCTCAAAGTAGATTCTGATGTGTATCTTAGCATCAAGATGGTGTGCTAGCTTGGGGCTGAAAGAGAGTGCTTGTCCTTCCATAGATACCGAGTTCTTTGTTTCCCAACATCCTTATCAGGTGTCTCATGGTTTCCCATAACCTCAACCCAGCCTGTTCAGGCACTTGCATGTTACATGTGCATCCCTACACACAGATCCACACACGTGCAGTGAAAGACTTGGAGCCCCGGTACTGCTGAATGTCTTCTTCCACTCAGTGAATCCCTAGTTTCTGACTTCTTGCTATAGGCTTTGTTCCTTTGCCTCTCTGAGCCTCAGGCATTCTTCTGTGGGGTGAGGATAATTTCAGCTGGGGTTACTAACACATGGAGGGGGAGCTCCTTTTACACTATAAAACAGCTCGGAAGGTACAGTGTAGGTCATTATAATTAAGGTGAGGAAATAGGTTGTTTTTTTCACTCCTTCAGTGAAAAAGTGGTAGCCACTTAGAGGAGCAGAAAACCTGGTATCACCAAATAGGACTAGTCTATTGCCCTGGTACCCTCCTGCACTCCTTGGCTTCTGAACTCATCTGGCTTTTCTGTCAACAGCCAGGGTGTCCTTGCCATAGGGTGGCATAGTCCCTACAACTCTTCCCTCTCTACCCTAACAGTCTGTGTGCACCTAGCCTAGATGCCCAGCCTTCCATGCCACATTTCCAGGTCCTCCTCTGTCTTCTCACATCCCACTCGTCCTGAGTCCTTAACCTAAGCAAGTCTGTTCATCTCACTCTGCAATGGAGGGTTTTGCTTTGTTGCTGTTTTGATCCTGCTTGCCCTGTGTTGTGTTTGCTATTAGTTAATCACTTGTTTGACATCTTCTTTCACTCAGAAACATTGAATTTGAGCACATATCTCATTCCTACTACCAGCCAGGCTGCAGAGCTCAACAAAATGGGGCTTGTAAGTCAACAGAACAAAATAAATGAGCCTCAGTCTTCCCGGGTGGGGGAGGGGGAGCCAAGCAGGGCGGTACCCACATTCCTGCCCTCACATCCCAGGGGAGTTGGCAGGGGGATGCCTACAGTGGCTACTCCTTCAAGATCATGCTGAGTTGAATTGAAGAAAGGAGCCTTCAGACAAGGAGAAGGATAAAGGGACTAGGAGGGGACCCTAGAGGAGACAGTTCCTCTGAAGGTACAGTTAACCTGCAAGAAGTGGTGTTGGGAGTGGTCCTCCTGGGCCTCCCCTAGCCTAAGCACCCAGCTTTGCCCAGCTCCTTAGAAACAAGGACAGGGAGGGGAGGTAGGTCCTTGTCAGAGTTGCTATTGCGCTGTAAGGCTAATTGAAACAAGGTCTTTACCTGCCTTTGTTATTGGAGGAAGCTGAAGGGAGCAAATACACCCTTTTCACATTGAGTCCCTCTGAGGCTGAGCAGGAGGGTTGCCACAGTTCAATTGGCTAGTTCCTGGGAGGGTCCTTGTTATAGCTCCTTCCATGACTCTGGAGGTGTTTGGGAATCTTGCTTGTGCTCTTGGAATATTATGAAACTTGGGTGTATGTAGGAAAGCTACCCATAGCATGACCCTGGCCTCTGACTTTGCCAGGTGAGCCTTTTCCTGATCTTCCATATGGAGCAGGTTCTTGTTCCCAGCAAAGGCTAGAAAATAGCTCCTCCTGTACACTGTGTAGTCCCAGGTTGGTCCCAGATAGAACACTCTGGGTCCTTGAGTGTTCGTCCACCTACTTCATGTTCCTACTTGGTCTACTTTCTCACCCGGAAAGAAGCAGGTCGGGCATCCTAGAGGTGGTCCTGGGATTAGAAAGGTCTTTGTTCACTAGTGAGCACATGTATTGCGTGAGGGGCTATTTGGTGCCAAGTGCGAGGCAGGGCTGTGGGGTCCCTGAAGGAGCTTACATCCCAGATGAGCTCCCTTCTTTTACAGAGACCTCTAGTAAGATCTTCACTAGCCTTGCCAGCTTGCAGAAGTAACCAGAAAGCACTCTGTAGACAATAAGTGACAGTGGTTATAGTTAGAGAAGAGGAAGACAGGGAGCCATGCGAAAGAGGTGCTGGACTCACCATGTCCTACACAGGCTGCTGGTGATCGGGACTGACTAAATCGTTCTGGAAAAATGAGTGGTCATTGTGCTGAGGCAGGAGCAGGATTTCCGTCTAGTGTGCACTGGATCGCCTCTCTCTTTTCTCTCTTAAGTTTTGTTTTAAGATTTTCATCTGACCATCCACGTGATTGACAGGTGTTTCTGCCTTGAAAGAAGTCCCAGTTAGCCAGGCATGGTGACACATGCTTTTTATCCAGAGCAGACGGATCTTTGAGTTTCAGGCTAGCCAAGGCTACATAGCAAGACCCTTTCTCAACCCCCACCTCACCCCATCCCCACCCCAAAAAAGGGAAGAAAGAAATCCCAGTTGCCTGGGAAACTTTGCTTGTGTAGAAGTGCTTATTCCTTAGTAAAACAATGTACAAACCTTTAGTGTCCTTGACACCACTGTTACATATGCAACTGAGAATGAACAGCTGCTGAAGGGCAGAATGAACTTAGCTACCTGTGTCACTAGAAGTTTATCTTTAGTGGTCTTCCATTTATGAGAACTACAACCCTTGTGATAATTGGAGTACAAATGGAGATGACAGGAGGATATGCTGTCAGGGGGTTGGAGTGTTTTGTAACTGACCATCTCCATTGCAGAGGAGCCTGAGTTATGATGGTCTGTTTCTTACTTAGTGGTTGACAGTTAGGGTTCAGCAACTTTTCTGCAAAGACTCAGAGTAAATACTTGAGTCTTGCATGTTCATGCAGCCCCAGCTTAACCTGGGCAACTCTCATCACCATGCAGAAGCCACCAGAGGCAATCTGTAGGAGTGAACTTAAATACAACTGGAGCACAGGTGGTAAACATGCAAATCCACTCAATGGAAGAATGCCTGCCCCTGGAGAGGACTTCTCTTGTATTGGCCAATTGACTCCTTGTGCCATATTAACTATTTATTGGGTTTGGGTTGTAGCTGAATGGAACTCAGGGTTTTAGAATTGGCTGGGCACAGGTCAGTTCCAAGACTTTCTTGGTCTGAGTTTCCTACTGTCTGTTCAGTGCTTCAGAAGGTGAGCTTGCACCTTTTAATGCCTTTTTGTTGTTGAGGCAGCACTGAACTGTAACACTCTGGAGAGCAAGCACAAAATTGCTCTGCTAGAAAATCCTGGTGATGACCAAGAGCCATTGTGTCCTCTGCCTGAGAAAGTTACTTACTCTGTATATGTGACAACTTTTTTCCCTAACATGTTTTCTTGCTGTAGGGACAGCCACTCTAATTTGTTGCTCTGATGCTCCTCTAGATAGGCACATGGTACTCACTTAGCTACCCATCTGCCTTTAATCTTGTACTACATTTGGAGCCGAGCAACATTTCACACTACCCTTAGCTGTCCCAGACTTTTGTGGCCATGCTCTGTTCCATCCAGATGTGCTTCTTGATAGGAAAATAATGACAATTAGAAAGAGTTTAGGATAAGATAACAGAGCAGTTGAAAGCCCAGCACCTTCAGGTCACAGGGCCAGTGTTATTTCTGCCACTGTAGAGCGACTCACTACCTGTGGCTCTCCATGGTTTCTATAACTGGGAATGCACTGAGCCATTGCAGTTTCTCACCAAGGATTCTGGTTGGTGCTGCAACAAGCTAGCAGCTGAGGTAGCCTACTGTGGATAGATAGGCATGCAACATTCATTCTTAGTTAATTCTCTTTAAAAACAATAATTATTATTATTATTATTATTATTTAGCCATAGCCAGGCATGGTGGTGCATGCCTTTAATCCCAACACTCTGGAAGCAGAGGCAGGTGGATCTCTGTGAATTCAATAATAACCTAGTTTACAAAGCAAGTTCCAGGACAGCCAGGGATATTACATACAGAAGCCCTATCTCAAAAAACAAAACCAAATAATAAGAGTAATGGCTTTCCGGATAGCATTTCGTGCTTATACTTTATGTTTATACTTTTTTTCTGTTTCGTTCCCCAGTTCTTAGTTATTGCATCTCCAGACATCAGGGTTTTAGCTCTTAGGGAGAAAGTTGCTTACCCATCACTTTTCCAATGGAAAGAATGCCTTACCAAGAGAATACTTGTGCATGGCCAGTGAGCTATGCAGGATGTTCAACCTAAGCCCCTCCCAAAACCCTCTAGCTCTGAAAGCAACAACACTGGCAGGGGCAGTGCTTCACAGGTGTCTTGTAATAGGAACCTTTGAATACACTGTCCAACATCTGTACTCTTTGCCCCATCATTCACAAAGAGAGAGGAACACAGAGCCTCTTATCTTAAAAGCAAGCCATTTCAGTTCACTGCTCTTCTGTTTTACAAGAGATTTTCCCTAGTATTTGCTGTCCCAGATTTAATTTAATGGACTATTTGCCCAGTGGTGCCCTTACAGTGAAGGAGACTTAGACCGGTTCCACCTCCAGTTGTTGTCTTATCTGGCTGCCCTCGGGCAAGGCATTGCCCTGTCAGGTCTCTTCATTGTCACCTTCCATATGAAGGGTTTAGTGAAGGTATTCTTGCTTTACAAGAGCAGGGACAGGGAGGACAACCCTTAAGTGAAGAAGGCGCTGAGGCAATCAATGTTAGTGCAAGATCTACACACACACACACCGTGGTTCACTTGTGAAGTCTCCTTGTTGCTAAGGTAACACCGTGCGTCTGCTCCCTTTTCTTTCAGATACCAGTATGGACAGAATAACTGATGATGCTTACCCCCACTCGACACTCCCGAGACATTGAGCGGAAACCAGAGTACCTCCAGCCAGAGAAGTGCGCACCACCTCCCTTCCCTGGTCCTGCGGGAACCATGTGGTTTATTCGTGATGGCTGTGGCATCGCCTGTGCCATTGTCACCTGGTTTCTGGTTCTCTATGCGGAGTTTGTAGTCCTCTTTGTCATGCTGATCCCGTCCAGAGACTACGTGTACAGCGTCATCAATGGGATTGTATTCAACCTTCTGGCCTTCTTGGCGCTGGCCTCACACTGCCGGGCCATGCTGACGGACCCCGTGAGTATGTCTGCGCTTGTTTTGACCAGCCCACAGTCTACCCCTCTGGCCCTGGTCTGGCCATAACCTGCATGCTCCCCACGGATCTTGGGAATGTGGAAAAACGACAGCCAGGACTGGGTGGAAAAGTGAGCTTCCTCTTTCTTTTTAGAATTTTTGGACTCTGACCAGGCAAGAGGGGCAATACCTGTATTAAAGCATAGGCGAGTGGGTTGAATGGCATGTCTGCACGCTGCTGTATATAGTTGTTGAGCCTGCTGTGTCAAGGGTCTAGCTAGGGAGACCCAGCCTCTGTTTGGAGGATGCAGTCAGATAGCCTTAGAGACTGGGCCAGATGGTTGGAGCAGAAAACATTCTAGGGGAAAGCGGAAAAAAAATCGAGGACTGAGTTGGATTGGCTTGATGTTACCTGCATGAATTTAGCCTTCAATTAGCTTGCACAAGATTCCTCTCTTTCTAGGTTGGGTAGGGTGGCACATACCTTGAGTCCCAGGGAGGCAGAGGAAGGTAGATAGTCGTGAGTTTGAGGCCAGCCAGGAATACATAATGAGACACCTATTGTCAGGGGGAAAATAGATTCCTCATTTCCTGAAAAGCTGTCCAGGCCTGTTTGGCACTACAGCAGACACTTCTGGGTATCTGTGGGTAAAACTTGTTCCATTTAGTGACTTAGATAAATATGTCAAGTGAGGCAAAGGCCCCTGAATGCTTCTATGCCCTATATCAAGCCCTCCTGACTTTTCACGGTGTGGTATGGGAAACAACCATACGGCTAACTTGGTGAAGCCCTCCTGTGGATTAACTGTTCTAGTATGTGGGTGGTAGCCATTCAGTTGAGAAAGTTCTGCTAATGGCCACACACAGTTTCAGTGAGTCCCAGAAAAACAAAGGGCTGACCACAGGGCTGAGCCAGTTCCCTTCTTGAAGGTGCATTGATAATCCCCACAAGGAAAGGCAGTTTCCTGGCTCAGTTATCTGTGTGGCTAGTCCAGATGGAACCAGCTAAGGCTTCATATCCTAAGGCCTGTGGACTGGTGCCGATGTTACATGAGGAGGTGAAGTGCTTGTGTTCTTGAAAATGCCTCATACACAAGGATATAAAGAAGTTAAAACAGTCGGGCGTTGGTGGCGCACGCCTTTAATCCCAGCACTCGGGAGGAGAGGCAGGTAGATCTCTGTGAGTTCGAGGCCAGCCTGGTCTCCAGAGAGAATGCCAGGACAGCCTCCAAAGCTGCACAGAGAAAACCTATCTTAAAAAAAAAAAAAAAAAAACTACTAAGGGTTTATTCAGAAATTTGTGTGATGCCCTTGCTGTTGGAGACAATGGAGGAAACTGCATTCTTCCGCTCAGCTCATACATAGGTCAGTACAGCTCTCCCATCAAGATGCCTCTATTGAAAAGACAGGTGAGGACAACCCTGGCAGAGGAAGTGTAGCTTGCTGTGGACAAGCAGGGAAAGCTGCCAGTCAGTCAGAGGTTGGTGGTGCGAGGCAGAGAGCAGAGTGCAGGGGGAGCACCCTGTGCAGAAAGACAGGCAGTGGCTCCTCTGGGCTTTTGTTCGTTGGAATGGGAAGACCAAAGGGGATATGGATTTACCTTTGGTGTCTATGTGGTTATGAAACAAGAAACATAGGTCAGGAAAGAGTCTAGAACCGCCCTCAAATTTTTTCTTTTGAGACAGGGCCTCACTATGTAGCTTTAGAACTCATGTGTAGATCAGGTTGGTCTTGAGCTCACAGAGGTCCACCTGCCTCTGCCTCCCAATTGCTGAGATTAAAGGTGTGCGCCACTAAGTCTGGCTGTAAGAATTTTAACTAAAGAGTGACAGGAAAATCACTGCACAAGGACGGCTGTGGTAGTAATGTGCAAGACCCTGCTGTGTCCTGACGGGCGGATGAACAGTTGTGTTGACTGGGTGCCAGGCAGACAGAATCCCTGCCCTCTATCAGCTCTATCACATTCCACTGGTAAATGCCCTGATGGCTGAAATTGCCAATTTCCAGGACAGTAGAACAGCCACAGGAGGGTGTAGTGGGCTCCCCATGAGACCAGGAATATCCAAGAAGGCCTATCCATGGTGATGCTATCGGAACCGACCTGAATGGCATGAAGCTGCAGACCAGGGCATGCAAAGACTTGCAGGCAGATTCAGGCAGAAGAGAAAAGAGGTTCAGAGGCCTGAGCTTGGAGTATGAGACTACAGTGTGGTGAACGGACGGAGGGGAGGGTGAAAAGGGCCACAGGGGCAGGGCCATGCGAGACCTTGTAGGGTCCTCAGAACCTTGCTGAGGTAGATATATAACGGCATTGTGCTTGTAGTGAGGTTCAGGTGGGAGTTGCAGAAGAATGAGACTAAGAACATTGGCAGTGGTTTAGGCAGGGCATGGACCAGCTTGGGTCATGGTAGAAGCAGAAAAGCTGTTGGATTTGAAGCTTATTTAAGCCACTGATTTGTAGGGGAAATGTTAGCCACGCCCTCTTGGGGGCTGGCACAGGTGACGCAGACCACACCCTGTGTGTGATCAGAGTGACATAGCAAGACCTTAAATATGAGGGTCTTACCCAGATGGCTCTCTCCGTTCCATGGTTCGCCTGGTTGTAGGGGACTGACTCCGTTGAGTGAGTCCTCTCCTATTAAAACATCTGTTCGTCAAACTTGCTCGGACTCCCTTGCGTTAATGCCGCATTATACTGATTCATTCTTAAATCTGACTCCACAGTAAGAACTATTTTTTTTTTTTTTTTTTTTTTTTTTTTTTTTGCTTTTCGAGACAGGGTTTCTCTGTTTAGCTTTGGAGCCTATCCTGGCACTGGCTCTTGTAGACCAGGCTGGTCTCGAACTCACATAGATCCGCCTGCCTCTGCCTCCCAGGTGCTGGGATTAAAGGCATTCGTCACCACCGCCTGGCTCAGTAAGAACTTCTTAAAGAGATTTTTAAAGTACTGGTGCCCTGGGCCCCTTGAATTCAACTGGGCTGAGGAAAGCTGACAAATGGAGATTGATCACAAAGAAAGCCTTCAGCCTGGGCAGGAACAACTGTGGGTGCTAGTGTCACTTGCTGCATGAAAAAGGCTATTAAGGAATAGATTCAGGAGGCCAAAGCAAAGCTTCTCTGTGGCAAAATTGCCATCTATTAGGTGCAAGCAGAGACATTATGTGAGCTGGTGGAAGATAGACTCATGGTTTAGAAGGCTGAGGAGCTGGATGTCACCAGGAAGCTCCTGCTGGCACTTGGGCTGCCCTCACAAACCTATGCTTTCCTCCTTAACTGCATGGAAGCCTCTCAGGGACCTCCTCAGGCAGCCCTGCAGCAGAATTTTTTTTTTTTTTTTCTGGTTTTTACCTTGCCTTGTGGCTTCTAATCCTCAGTAGCAGTTTTAGGTTTCTTTCCTGTTGCTGTGATGAAATGCCGTGACAAAAGCAACCTGGAGAAGAATTTATTTTAGTCAAAGCTCAGGTTACAGCCCATCATATCAGACAAGTCAAAGCAGTAGGCTCTTGAAGTGTCCGTCCACAGTCAAAAGCACAGAGCGGGAAATGAATGTATGTATGCTGCACCAAGCTTACTTTCTCCACCCTTACACAGTCCAAGAACCAAGCTCAGGGAGTGATGATGCCTGCTTTGGACTAGGACTTCCCACATCATGTAATCCAAAGTTATCTTCCACTCCCCAGACATGTTCAAAGGTCAACCAGACATAGATAGTCCCGAATTGAGACTCTTCCTGGTGATTCTAGACCTTGGCACTTAAAATTAATCATCACGGTAGACCAGAGCCACCCTGAGCACCAAGTAGCTCCCCATAGATGTCAATGAAGAATCTATCTAATAACTGCCATGAGTGAGGCAAACATTTCAAAGCATGTCCTGTGTACCAGCCCCATCACGTGATGACTTATAAGAACCCTTATATAAAACAATGAAGTGCAGCGGTAGAAGTGGGGCCTGCAAGGTACCACCCCAGCTCCTAGGAAACACAGCCTGGAGTCTCAGGTGAAACACAGATCAACTAGGGGGCTCCTTGTTAATCAGCAGATGGAGTCTGTTTGTAGCATGGAGTCATTGTGTGTTCTGGGGAGTTTCCTAATGGAGAGGAGATGATGTCCATAATTTTGGAGAACAGCTTATACCCTGATTTTATAAATAATATTTTCATTATTGTCATTTTGGTTAGCACTGAGGGGTGGGGTGGAAAGGGGTAGAGAAGGGGAGACAGGAGAAAGGGTATCGTGGTCTCCCATTAGATAGTTGCTGTACACTTCCAATTGGACCTTTTCACTCCAGATGTAACACTAGAGCAGTTATGATGGGCTTCTGGATCATTCCGTGGTTTGTTGTTGACACTGGCACAGCAGTAGTTGAGTCCACAAAGCAAGGGGAAGAGAAAAATTACTCGCAAGTGTGTGAAAAGCAGAAATGGTTCCATTTGAAATTGGGGGAGATAGATGAGGGCTCCATAGCTCAGGGGTTAGAGCACTGGTCTTGTGAAATTGGGGAAGAGATAGGCCTTTCAGTAGAGGAGGAGGATAGCTGGAGCAGGAGCCACATGGACGCCTCACTCAGCCTCTGGGTGGAAGTATGATGAGAACAGGTCATGCTGGTGCTCGGTCTCACTGTGCTTGCCCGCTCTAAGGTTGTGCAATCTCACCCACAGCACTTTTCTATGTTCTGGAAATCGGGAGCGATTCCTCATGAACTCATCCTGTGGTTATTTCCCCAGTTCCAGATGTATCATTGGGATAGATATACTGAGGTTGGCAGAATTCCCACATTGGTTCTCTAACCTGTGGAGCAAGAGCTGTTATGGTTGGAAAGGGAAATTGGAAGCCATTGAGTTGCCTGTACCGGGGAAAATAGTGAACCCAAACCAAGGAATTGCAGAAATTAGTGCCACTTTCAAGGACATGAAAGATACAGAGTGGTGGTTCCCATCATGTTGTCCTTTGCTCTTCCGTTTGACCTGTGCAGAAGATAGATTATGGAGAATGACAGCTGAC